ATGTGCTGTTTTCTCATCCCAGCTGTCACAACCCATGCGTTCCCAGCTAGCAGCATGCCCACACTTCGGCAGCTGCTGGCGGGGGGACGTGTCGGTTCTAAGTGGCTGTGGCGGTGATGGGGGTGGTGATGGCAGCAGGAGTGGTGTTGCGGGAGTTGTGGTGCTCCTCGTAGTAATAGATGGTGGGAGTGAGACCAGAAGCCAGGAACGTCGGGGGTCCTTGCCGAGGGGCTGACCTCATTGTGAGGTGGTTCCACGCGGGGGTCGGGGGCCAGCAGTCGGGATCTCAGTTTCGGAAATGGCAAGACAAAGCCTCCCCATGTAGATTGAAAGCATCTCCAAGGGGCTTATTCTGCTTTAGACAAAGCAGAGCAGATTGGTTCCGGTGGTGGGGAAGGCAGAGATGGGCGGTAGCCAAAACTAGGATTCTGGAATGTCTGCTCAGTTCGAATGAGACCTATTCCCCACGCAGGGGCTCCTCCATCACAGAAAGGGTTGCATAGTGGATCAGCTCTAAGCCAGAGCTGCTCCAAGTGCGTTCCCCAGAACGGCAGCAGCAGCCTCATGAAGCTTGTTAGACCTACTGGTGATTCTGATGCAGGTTAAAGTTTGAGAAACACCCACATAACCTTAGACTGATTGTCCAGAGTCTCCAGACCTTGAGGGACAACACTCAATAAGTCTCATCATCAAGACTTGATAACTATGAGGGTTGAGAGGTACGTGGCCCGGCCCTGGACAGTGTGGTGCCAAGCCACATCCGTGTGGCACCCTGGTTCATGCACTGGTTTGCAGAGCAGGTGGACATGAGTCTTCTAGGTCAACCCTTCCTTCTGAGCAGGGTTTAGAGACAAGGCACAGACTGATGGTTTATTTGCTAGTATCACTGAAAGTGCAGAATCTGGATACAAATCTGTAATAATGTTTTTTTGCTTTAGTTCTCACTGTTTGTGACTTTTTTGTTGCTGATGTGTACTCCTTAAGCCTGGATGGTAGGTGGTCCTTTTCTTGTTAAGGACCAGATGTATCTCCCTTCTCGTCCCTTCTACTCTCGGGCAGTGGTTGCCTCTCCCCTCTTGATTCCCCAAAGGCTATTTACCAAAAACCTTAAGAAACACAAGGATGCCCAAAATGGCTCTAGACCAGTTTACTATTGGATTTGATAACACCGGAAGGTAAACATTTATTTTTGCTGAAGTGAGTTTTTATTTTCTTCTCTGAGTCTGCCCGTGAGAAAAAGCTTATGTAGAATGTTTTTCTTACTGTCATTATAATGTCCAGGAGCAGTTTCAGCTGTTTAGGATGATAAAGGATCTTAGGTGATGGGTGTGACACTTCTTACCACCGTCAGGCTGGGGATTTTTTTCCTTCCATGGTGAGCCTGGGGGCCTTGTTTTTGCTTGGTGAACTTGTGGGCTTTTTCACTTTAAAGCGACTTCCAAATCTCAACAGCCCCTGTGCCCTCGCAGCTCTGTTCTACCAGGGCCAGCCTTTCTGGACATCTCTCCTAAGCAGTCCTACTCACCCACTTCTCCGAAGCGAACCCTGTCCCTGCAGGACCCAGCAGCATCCAGAAGGGAATTCCTTTTTCTCACTGGTCCCATCAGGAACCTACAATTTGTCTAGACCAATGGCTTGTTCTCAGCTCTCATTTTCTCTAATGCATTTGACTTTCCTGACATTGGATGTTGAATAACTCTTTGAGAACAGGGGTCGTGTCATTTTCAGCCATGTAGGCACTCTATAAATATTTATAAAATCAGTGCACGGGTTCTCCTTCGGAAACTCTACCCTTGATATGATTCTGCCCCTGTGATGCTGTTTCTGGCCAGTCTCGTCCTCCAGCTCTGCTTCCTGCCTCCCAAATGCACATGTTTCCCAAAGTGGGGTTCTAAATCTTCTTCGCTCTGTCTCCAGGAACTCTCATTCCCTCTGAGGCCATTGTCTCACCCCACTGTGTCCCTGACACTCTGTGCCCTGTCTTCTCACTCTGAGTCAACCCCGGGAAGCCTGCTGGCACCTCTGCCTGCCCCCAGCTGAGCTCGTCAGTTTCTTCTGCTGCCTTCCTTCTTTTCCTCTTTTCTAATGAACAGCGTCTTCCCGGTCCCCCAGACACCAGTGACTCTGTCACCTGAGCAGATCCAATTCCACGCCTATGTGTTTTGCTGTGTGTTTGTGAATTCTGGAACCGTGAGCGTGCACGTCCAGACCTGCTCTTAACTCACACACTCCCTTCTCCTTGGACACCACCAGCCAAAATCGTTTCTCCCTTTGTGACCCCCCTGCCCCACACTAGCATTTTCCCTCTACAGTCATTTTTCTTTGGCCATTAGCTCCTGAATATTGGAAATTTTTTTTTAACAGATCTCATCTCCTTGAGTAAATTGTAAGCATCTTGAGGGAGTGCTTGTATCTGAGTTGATTTTAAATCCAGGCAGGGGCACAACCCAATACCTTCTGAGGTCCAGAGCCATGTACAGGGACTGGGGAGTGAAGCCTTCTCAGTGATGCTTGCTCTTGAGCCCTGCTGGCCGGACGCTGGCATCTCCCTCAGTGTTCCCTTGAAAGCCCCAGGCGGTCACTTCAGTTGTGTTCAGATGTGTCCCTGAACCTTGGAAGACCGAGGATAGTGTTTCCCCCTATACAGTGAGCCCTGGTCTTTAACATGATGTTGACTAGCTGGAAAGATACGCTGTTGTTCACAGGGAGTTAACACAAATTAATCTATAGTAACAACATGGAGAGACCAATTAGTATTAGAAATAGCATTTTCAATGCATATCAAGGGCTTTGTATGTAAATCTCATTTATTCTCAGCAGCCATAGGCCAGTTCCAGACGATTAGGCATTATCCTTTTATCCTTTTAGACTTCTCCAGGCGCTTTAATGTCCCTGTCCCGCTAGCCTGGAGTCGTGGAAGGGCGATGTTAGTCAACCACGCTCTTCTGCCAAACTTGTAAATGCCTCTGTCTCTCCCCTGAGGTCTCAGTCACAACTGCTGAACAAACAGGGGAAGCCCTTGATACTTAGACAGAGGACTGGCGTGGCCAGGAGCGGACACCCGGTCACGGGGCACAGCCACAGCAGGGTCCCAGCTCACCTGAAGCCCCCGAAGGCTAACGGTGTCTGTGGTCCTGGCCGTGGCGCCCAGTGCTCAGAATGTTCTCCCCGAACTTACGGGGATTCCCAAGATGCCTGCCCTCCTGGGCCCACCCTAGGGAGTGGGCGGGACTCCCACTGTGTTACTCCGTGGGTGCAGGGCCTGTGCGTGGTCCTCTGCCCTCCACGGCACATCCCTTCTTCCCCTGCCCGCCTGCCCAGCACTCGTGGGGAGCGAGTGACCGACTGAGCAGCCTGGCCCGCCCAACCTTCTTGCTAGAATTCTTGCTTCAAGAAATGTAATTAACAGACAGGAAAACGCAGCCACCATTCAGTGCGTAGGTGGCCTCTAGAAGCTGAAAATTCTTTGGGCCACCCCGGTGCCATCACTGGGGTGAGTGACGCAGCAGATGGTCCCCGTGGCCTGGCTTCTCCACCAGCTCCCTCACCAGCTCTGGGATGACGGCAACGCTGATGGCAAAACCGGCCAAAACACCAACAATTGCCCAGCAGTCGGGCTCAGTGGTTCTCAGAGCGTGGTTCCCCAGCCTAGACCTTCTGGAAATGTAACTGGGGGCCGGGGCAGCAATCCATTTCAACACTCCCCTTCCAAATTGATACTGATGCGGCCTCCAGTTTGAGAACCATACTCCTGGCTTATAGGCCTATTTTTCCATCCATCTAAACCTCCATCTTCTGTACCTCCTCCTGGGTCATATGGCTGCATCCTTCCCGGGGACAACAGCCATGACCTAGAGAGGTCGGCCTTTCTATATACTGCAAATGTATGGCTTTTATTTGCTGAGAGATGCCATGTATGTATGACTGGGAAGTGAGGGGTCTGTACAACGTCTGCAGCCTTTTGGGTTTTTCTAGAGCAAAGTCAGAGGTGACAGTATCTCTTAAAGTATTGTCTGTGGACCGGTCCTCGGAGTGTGCACATCTCAGAATCCCCTCTCTGTCAACCCTTCCTCATCCATCCTTCTACATCTGGTGTTTCCCGCCTCTCCCCCTATTTTCACTGAGATATAATTAACATACAGCGTTGCATAAGTTTGGGGGGGTACAGCATAATGATTTGACTGACATATATGATGAAATGATTACCACAGTAAGTTTAGTTGACACCATCATCTCATAGAGATAGAGGAAAAAAGAAAATTTTTTAAATGTTTCCCTGTGATGAGTCAGTGATTCTCACGTATCCGGAGGTATCCCTTTATGTCTGTGGAGTTAGACACTTTCGGCCTGTGTTTCAGCTCTTCCGTTTTCCTAGGTTATGACCTTGAGACAGGTTCGCCTCGCTAAGACTATTTCTTAATTTGCAGAGTGGAATTCGTCTAGTTAATTAATGGAATTAATCTAGCAACCACCTAGGGTTGCTGTAAGGATTAAGTTAGATCATGTAAATAAAGCACTTTGTACCACCTGCCGATGGCAGGAGGGAGTGTTCAGAAGTAACGTGATGGCGTTACTTCTCCCGTCACGGTAGCATTTGTGCTGCAGGGCAAGGACTTCTTTTACGTCCTACGACCAAAGCACAAACCCTGTGAATGTTGCATGTAGTGCGTGACTATGGCTCTGGACCTCCCAGAACACATACTACAAGAATCAGCAAATGGACAGATGGAAAAACCCATATAAAGTTGATAAACAGGACTCAGGGGACAGTGGGAGGACAGGAATGCTGGCCAAGGAAGGGAGGGAGGGCCGGAAAGCAAAGAAATCTCAAATCAGAGACGTCTGACTCACATGGAATGGAGTCTTTTCTACTAAAATTCCTAACATGCAAACTTTTCTGCAATCTTGGAACTAACTGAAGATCTGCTGGCCTCCCAGTGGGTTGGATGCACTTTTGACATGACCTGTTTATGGACCTTCCTGTGTTTTGTCATTTGTAGAGGAACTGAAGGCCCCCTTGGAGGAGTATGTCCACAAACGTTACCCCGGGCTCGTGAAGGTGGTGAGAAATCAAAAAAGAGAGGGCCTGATCCGAGCTCGCATCGAGGGCTGGAAGGTGGCCACTGGCCAGGTCACCGGCTTCTTTGATGCCCACGTGGAGTTCACCGCTGGCTGGTAGGTCACAAGCTGAATCCTAGGAGCACACCTGCGGCAGGGTCTGGAAGGCTAGAGTTCGGGAGGTGGGGCACTTTGCCTGTTTCCTCTGGGGGCCCGGAAAGAATGGAGAAGGGGTGGTTGAGAAGAAGGTGGACCGTAGTTTGGGATAAAACTGGGAAGCAGGGTGAAATGTGTCTGTTGCCTATTTAGTCTGTCATCTTCATCCTTGTTATTGTCATCCTCACCATCATCACCATCATCCTCACCATCATGACTATCATCACCATCATTAACATTCTCAGTGAAAATGATGCGTGCATTGGACAGAACTCAAGACAATCCTTGCTAAGGGAACAAGACAGACAGATTCCGACTGTTCTCTTTTGCTCCTTTGCTTGTTTCCATTTCTAGGGAGGATGATTGACTGTTCTTGTGAAACAAGCAATTCATTTGTAATTCTACCTACTCAGGCAAAGCTTCCCAGAATTTATGGGATTGTCTTTAACATTGTTTGGAGGAAGGGAAGGGTTTCTCCCTGCTGGTGGTAGCCCCTGATGTTTTTCCAGAACAATAGGAGAGAAACTGGTAAGCATACAGGAGTAGAAGATTTTGAATGTAAGAAGAGCGAAGCATCGAAAATGCCCAGAACAGCTAATGAGAATGTTAAAATTGGATTCGAGTTTTTCGGTTGTATGATTATTTCTAACTAACCAATGGTAAATCAAGTCAGAGGTTAAGCCTCTATGCCAGGGTTGCTTAATTAGTAAAAAGCAGAGTCTTTCATTTCATTAATAGTGTTCATTTACACTCAATGATACCATTACACTTACCGATACCAGTAAGTGCCGTTCATGGTACCATATTTGAAGAGCCAATATCCCATCACTAATTAAACCTTAAAATGTCTATTCTTTTTCATTTGAAACAAACTTTAGAATCCTTTTAATGACTGGGTAAAGAATGGTTATGCACGTGGCCACACAAAGGTTTGGAGCATGGAGTCACCGTTAACACCGGCCCTTTCAAGTGCCCATGAGTATCTGTTGCCATCTCAGACCCCAGTTTTCTCTCCTGGTTTTCCTGCCACCATCAGACCCTGATACACACTCAGCTGCACATGTGCCGCCCTGAGCTTCAGTTTCTCAAAATGTGGTCCTTAGGCCAGCAGCGTCAGCATCATCTGGGAACTTGTTAGAAATGCAGATTGTTGGGTTCCACCCAGATCTATGACATCAGATGCTCAGGGGATGGCCAGTCTGCTTTGATCAGCCCCCCTGGGGACTCTGAGGCTCCCTCACGTCTGGGAACACTTGAGCTAGAAGCCTTCTCAACAGATGCCCTTGAATGTTCCATTGGAATGTTAGCCTTGCCCTGTTTCACCCTTCCCCCCCATCACTCCCTGCTCATTTCTTTCCTGTTGAAACTGCTGGCACCACCCAGTCCCTTTCACTTGAGTCTTGGCCCCCATCATGTTCCGCATCCAGTCCACGTCCAGTATTGGCTGGGTTTTCCTTCTGTTTCTCATGTCTCCCTCTTCTCTGTCTTGACCTTCACTTTCCCAGCTCAGACCGCTTTATGTTTCCCTTAAACCAACTGACCAATACTTACTGGATGACAGCTGTGCCCCAAAGACTGGTCTAGGCTGTGATTTGGATGACCAACTGACTGGGTTTGCCCGGTACGAAGAAATTTCCCAAAATGCAAGAGCTTCAGTAGTAAAATCAGAACGGTCTCGGGCGAACTGGAACAGGTGGTCACTCAACTGGTTGAAAATATGGCAGGATTTGGTGTCCACCCTCCAGAACCCTATAGGCTAATTCCTACTGATCTCTGTGATCCTGTCTTAGCCCTTCAGACTCATTTTCCACACTTGGAGCAGAGTGTTATATGACTTCGTGGCAGGTAGACCATGTGTGACAACTTCTAGGAGGTTTTACTGCAGTAATGATTTCCGTCTTGTCCACCTGGCAGGTCTGCTATGGGTTGTCTGTCCGTGGCTCTGCTCCGTATGTCCTCTGTGACCTGAGACTCAAGGAGCACCCTTGCCTAGGAAGTGCCATTTCTGTGGCTCAGGGAAAAGAGTCACAGCTGAACCTTGCGATGGCCATGGAAGCTTCTGCTCAGAAATGACATCGTCACACTTTCTATTGTCCAAAGCAGGTCACACATCCAAGCTAAACAGTATCTGGTGTTGAGGGAGGTTGTCCCTCTGCAGAGAAGCACCTCAGGCCTCGTGGTAATAGGCGGGGCGTCCCCAAGAAGGGGAGCAAATCCCTGGGAACAGCTGTACGCTCTGCGACAGACTGGAAGACCCGGCTCCTCAGCGTCAGAGGCATGATTTGAACCCCAGTCTTCTGCCCCATGCTCAGCAACTTTCCCCGCTCAGTGATGGGCTGAGCTGACTGCTTCTACGTGCATGGCACCAGACCAGCCTAGGGGAAGGGTGCGCTGTTCAAGGAGGCCGTGGAGCTTAGAGGCTGGACCTAAAGCCAGACTCTCCAGGTTAGAAACTGTGTGGCCTGGGACAAGTGACTTAATCTCCCTGGGCCTCAGTTTCCTCGTTTGTAAAATGAGGATCATAGTATTTACCTCATATGATTATTCTGAGATTTGTCTTAGTCCAGGGCAGCACACGTAGCATGTTCAGAATGGTGCCCAGTGCTTGATAAACATCAGCTATCATGAGCTTATAAAGAAAAAGTAAACCTGTGCTCAAAGATCAGCCAAGACAGCGTGTGGTCAGAGTGACTTGAATAGGGGGCAGATGGTCTAAGAGTTGAGAGGCTGGAGAGAGTCTTCGACTGGGAGAAATTAAGACAGCCTTCCTGGGAGAGGTGGCACTTGATAGATAAACCTGTGTAGGTTCATCCTAGACTTCTTTCCTGGGCACAAGGGCATTCCTGGAGGACAATAGCAAGAGTGAGGGCTTTGGGGGAGGACAGAGCTCTGAAGTGCACCTAGACATCATGGGACGTCAGTCCCATTTGGCGTCCGCCTCTGTGGTGTATGCAGAAGTATTGGAGGCAGTAAATGGCCCAGGGTCTATTTTATTGCTCGTGTTAAATAGAAAGATGAAACGTGCCAACAGGTAATTCAATAGCTTCAAATGAAAAGAGATGGGATGGAGGCCGAGCGTCCTCATTACTCTTCCAAATAATGCAGAGGAATGGGATTTTCACTTGACTCTTTTCCAAAGCCTGCGCTCTGTTCTAAGCAGGGAGATTAATGCCCTGGCTTCTGAGAGCCATCTTTTCCTTCTCGAATGTGGGAAATGGTCCCTTCCCACGTCTTCCTCAGAGACGCACCCTGGCAAGGGTGTCTGACCATCTGCTTTCTCCTAAGCTGGCAGGGCCGCACGTTGAACCCCAAGCCAGGTCCCTGCCTATCGCCTGCTGCAGCCCCGGGGGGCGCAGGCTAGCTGGGAGGCAGGATTCTGCCTGCCTTTGCATTCAGTTCATCCCTGCCCGCCAACACTAACCCAGCCAATTAAATCCCTTTTAAGAAATCAATTAAATAATCAATTAAAACAATGGAAACAGTCACATGCACAAAGAAGCTAGCGAAATGCTCATTGAAATCAGGCCATGAAGGGCAGAAGTGACCTATTTAGAAGGTAATTCAGTTCCAGCAGGAAAAAACAGAGGCATCAGCCAGTGCCTGGGGGGAAACCGAAAACACTGTACAAATCCTAGAGTCAGGAGGGCCTTGCTTTGGCTCACACTGTTGGTATCACAGACCAGCCATCCATTCTAGGGCAGAAGCCCTCATGTTCTGAGTTCTTCATGCCTGTCACGCCCACGTGGGCAGCAATGTGGTGACCCCCCCAGGGACAGGGACTGAGCTGCGTGTCACAGCACCTCCCCGTCCTCCCTTCAAGCTGCCTGATCCGCCTCGAGCTGCCCCTGGGGGCCTTCAGTTTCCATCCATCTGAGTCCCTGCCTGCCCACAGCCCTGGCTTTAACTCCAGGCTTCTGTTCGTTGTCTGCCGTCTTGGGGTGTGTGCCAGTTGAAGAGTGGGAGAGCCTCAGGGGAGAGATGAAATCCCTATGTCTCTGTGTTTCAGGGCCGAGCCGGTTCTGTCCCGGATCCAGGAGAACCGGAAGCGCGTGATCCTCCCCTCCATCGACAACATCAAGCAGGACACGTTCGAGGTGCAGCGGTACGAGAACTCGGCCCACGGGTACAGCTGGGAGCTGTGGTGCATGTACATCAGCCCCCCGAAGGACTGGTGGGACGCCGGGGACCCTTCCCTCCCCATCAGGTCTGTGCCAAGCACCGCCCCGGTGGCCTCTGAGTCCCCAGGTCCCAGGGGAGAGGGGAGCCCCATCCCGGGAGGGAGGGGGGCTGGGAGAGACCACCTGGGGATGGAGCTGCGATGTGGAGGCAGCTGCTTTAGGAGCTTGGGGTGTCTTCCCATCAAAGGTTTCTCGCTGAGGAGGGACGCTGCATTTCGCTTCTTTTCGCTAAAAATTTTCCAGTGCAGCCTATCCAATGGCGGTCCTGAAAGGTGGGCAGCTATAGGAAGGTGCATGTTTTTTATTCTTCCTCGTGTTTGATGAACCATGTGCAGGAGCTTTTAAGTATGATGTTTGAAAGGTATTAGTTCCTGGAACTTTTTCATACTTGGACGCCTGATGATCACAGTGATGGGTGCAGGGACAAGTGGAAAAGGGACATGTGACGGGGAACCCAGGGCCTTTGGGCAGCTCCGTCATGACTTTTGCCCCAGGTGCCCCAGCTTCCCCTGGAGGCAAGAGGGTCAGTCCCTCATGATGGGCCAGTTGGGAAGCTCAAATATAAAGGATGTCGAATGAAGTAGGTGGGTTTTGATGTCGTAATTGCTTCCTGTGGCTGCTGGGACCAATTACCACAAGCTTAGTGGCTTAAAGCACACGCATTTATTCTCTTACATTCTAAAGGGCAGTCATTAGAAATGAGCCTTTCAGAGCTAAACACAAGGTGTCTGCAGGGCTGGGTCTGTCTGGAGGCTCGAGGGGAGGATCCATTTCCTTGCCCTTTCCCAGCTTCCAGAGGCTCTTCTCGTCACACCTCCCTTTCTCCATCACGCGGCCTTCTTCTTCCCTGGACGTTCTCGCTCCCTCTTATAAGGGTCTTTGGGATGACGCCTGGAGTCCACGTGACTAATCCACGGTGATCTCCCTCTTGTCAAGGTCCTTTACTGAATCTGTCTGTGAAGTCCTTGCTCCCGTGTAAGGTGACATTCGCAGGTTCCGGAGGTTAGGATGTGGACTCCTTGTGGGGAGGAGTGGGGGAGGCGAGGAGCATGTTGTGCAGCCCACCACAAATGCTCTGACTTTCAACCAGGGTGATACCCGAGTTGCAGTTCAGTACTTTCTGTGACTTCTACATCAGGGTCAAAACTGACTTAAAATCGTCATGGTTCTGTCTTCAGTTTGCCCCCGTTTTAGGGCAACGTGTGTTTGTATAAAGGGGCAATTGTGGAACGGGAGTGAGGACTTTTTGCAAGGATCTGTGAACTTCTTCCTCAGTGTATAAATTTTTGATAAACAAGTGTGGGATTTTGAAATGGGCAGGACCCTCCCCTCTCCGTATTCTTTTATTTTCTGGCTCAAATTGAAAGCTGACATATTCCATTAGAGCGGAGCCACCCATGGGCGAATTTATGCAACAAAGAAGGTGATCTTCCAATAACTTGCTCCACTGGAAATGTCTCGTGGCTCAGTTCCCTTGGCAGCCTAGATGTTCCACGTCTGCGTGGAAGGCTGCAGTCCTACACCCTTGGATTTCTGCAAATAATAATGTAGACTCATCACTGAAGGGTTATCTGAGACCCAAAGCATAACCTTCAGGGATATTTAAAATCTGATGGTTGAGCTACCACCTCACACCCATTAGGATGACTATTGTATTAACAAAAAGGAAACAGAAAATAACAAGTGTTGACAAGAATGTGGAGAAGTTGGACTCCTTGAGCACTGCTGGTGGGAATATAAAATGATGCGGCTGCCGTGGAAAACAGTGTGGAGGTTCCTCAAAAAATTAAAAATAGACTGGCCATATGGTCCAGCAATTCCAGTTATGGGTATGTACCCTAAAGAGTTGCAAGCAGGGTCTCAAAGAAGTATTTGTACACCCGTGTTCATGGCAGCATTATTCACAATAGCCGAAAGACAGAAGTAACCCAAACGCCCATCAAAAGATGAACAAATAAACAAACTATGATGTGTTTTATACACACACACACACACAATGGAATATTATTCAGCCTTAAGATAAAGAAATTCTGACACATGCTACGACATGGATGAGCCTTGGGGACACTGTGCTAAGTGAAATAAACCAGTCACCAAAGACAAGATACTACATGATTCCACTCCTATGGAGTGCCTAAAATAGCTGAAGTCAGAGAGAGAGGGAGTAGAACGGTGGTCCCCAGGGGCTGGGGAGGAGGGCGGAATGGGAAATTGTTATTTAGTGGGTTCATAGTTTCAGTTTTGCAAGACGGAAAGAGTTCTGAAATTGGTTGCACAATCCCGTGAATGTACTGTGCACGTAAAAATGGTTGAGACAGCAAATTTTATGTTTTATGCATTTTACTACGATTTAAAAAAGTTAACGGGGAGTGCTTCAGATGGCCTTTAGATCTTGAAAGCTTAGGGTTCAAGCGATGGATACACAGTTTCATATTTTTGGCCAAACACGGTTTCCTCCCTGACGCACGGGGAGGCTGACCTCCAGCCGTGACAGATAAGGGAGTGAAAGTGTGACGATGGTATTAGGGGCAGAGGAAAAGAAATAGATACGCTGCTTTGGGATGCCCAGAACACATAGCCCTCCCTGCGTATGTGAGACACTAATCTAAAACAGAGCATGTATTTCATGAGTTACGGTAACCTCGACAGAAGATTAATATGCATCTTAAAAAACTCAAGAAAATGGAGTCGTGATCGTGAGTCATTCATATGACATGCCTCTCTGATGTACACAATAGAATCAAATACCAGTGATCGTTTTTTCATGTATCATAGCTTACGAAATGCTTAATCTGTTAATGGTTGATGGAGATATTTAATTGTAGGAAAGAATTTTTATGGCCCTTCTGATATTATTAAGCAGTTACAGTACCATTTCTTAAATGTCAGGATGTGGTGGTTTTCCCCTCCTCCCTGTGATCCTAATATTTTAATAGTAATAATTTTATTCTGATAAAGGATGGGGCAAGGAGTTTTTCACAGTCCAAATGGCATTAGATTGGATGAATCTTTAGATACTTCCCAGTAGGCAATACAATATAGATTTTGCATTAAGGAGATTTTATATCCTTCCTGTTTGACCTTTTTTACCTTTCTTCCTATGTATCTTTTTTTCCCCCTGCTTGGCAAACAGCCGTTTCCAAAGGTTTTCTGGTTTTCCTCTGCTCTTCTTTGTCTGCATCAGAGTTTCAGGTGTAGATAGGGGACAGGTGTCATTGAAGAGGGCAGAGCCGAGGGTAAGGGATGGGGGTGGGGACTGAAGAACACACGTCCCACCCAGGAGGCAGCTGCTGCCAGCCCCACGTGGTGATGCTGGGGGGACACAGGGCCAGCATTGTCAGGTCCTCAGACTTTTAAGAAAAGACACAAATTCAGATAATTTGGTGAAATCTCCTGACTTCTCAATGTTGACAATAAATCCTTTTTCTTTAAAACTACGAGGGCCAAGCAACATGAGTCTAGACTGGATTTGACCACTCGGGCCCCCAGAGTTTGGTCTTTGCTCTACCCCTGCTCCCTTAAAGACCTCGATCGTTCCCAAGGACAGTCCTAGCCCACAGTTCTCACCCTGGGAGCTGCAGGCACCTGCGGTCTGTGACATTACTGTGGGGCTGAGAGCTCTGGGGAAAGGGTCACTCAAAGCCGTAGCAGAAACACGGCTGAATTCCTGGAGCTTGAGTTAAGCCAAAAGAGAGCTCCCTCCTATCTCTGCTGGGTTTCACAGCCCTCCGCCGCCTGAGATTCTTCAGTGAAAGGCTTTGAGAAGCTCGGCCCCAGCTGTCACCTCTGTGCAGAGAAGGCTCTCAAATCTAGGTCTTAAGCCCTAATTTTTCTCCAAAGTGACATCATCTCCAATGTCACATCAACAACCTAGATCATTAGACCAGTGGAGCTTCAGCTTCTCTGAGTCAAGGACCTCCTCGATAATCTGAAGAAAGCCGTAGATTCTCTCACTCCTTAGCGTGTGTAAGTGGGCAGAACTTTGCAGATAATTTCAGGAAGTTCACAGATGCCTGGAAGCCGGCCTCCCAAAGATCCCCAGGGCTTGTATTGAGAACCAGTGCTGGGTGTTCTACCTGGGTCTCCCAATGGGAGAGCCTTTCTTTACCATTTTTTTAATCCCTCACTGATCTATATGCTTTCCGAGGCCAAGCCAGTGGCTCTTTCAGTTGTAACCCCGGTGCCTAGTGAGCACTTAGCACTTCGTAGGTTTGCTGACAATATCTGGTGAACAAACGAATGGATAAGTGACAGCCGCGGCTCAGAAGAGAGGTCGGGGAGGAGGGTACAGCTCAGTGGTAGAGCGTGTGCTTAGCATGCACAAAGTCCTGGGTTCAATCCCCAGTACTTCCATTAAAAAAAACAAATAAATAAACCTGATTACCCCCAAAAAAATTATTTAAAAAAAAAGAAAGAAAAAGAAGAGCGGTCAGGGCTATGAACGGTTAGGAAGACGATGAAATTACCTTGTGTGTTAAGCGTTCCCTGCTCCTCCAACCCCGCAACCCCTGACTGCTCCCAGGCTACCTTATATCTCCATGGATTTGCCTGTTTCTGGACAATTCATGTAAGTGGAATCATACAATATGTGGCTTTCTGCATCTGGCTTCTTTTTTACTTAGCATAGATTTTACGAGGGTCATCCACGTTGCATCACAGGTCAGTGCTTCTTTCCTTTTTATTGTATTTTTTAAAAATAATTATTCCTTCATTCAAAGAAGTACGATTGATATCTATTTACTAGGTTCTGAAATACATCAGTAAATCCAGACATCGTCCCTACCTTTGAGAACCTGTAGTCTGGGGGGAGTGCTCTGAGGAAAGTTGAGAAGTGAAAGAAGACTTAATAGTGATCATCATTTTCATCTTGTAAAAATAACTATATATTTATGTAATTTCTTAAAATTCTCTCAACAAAAAGGATAAATTCCTTTAGATTTCTTTCCAAATTTGAGCCACCTTATGTACCCAAACTGTAGTTTCCATTGGTTGAATCATACCAAGGGAAAAGCTATCAGTTAATTCC